TCCCATCCAGTACAGCGTTGCGGCGCAGTTCGAATTCGTCTCCCCCGCCCAGTATACCGCTTCGTGGCCCCATATGGAGTTCCACCGAAGGTCCCATTTGCGCAGTTCGCATGCGTCTCCCCCACCTGATACAGCGTTTCGTGGCCCCAGAGGGTGGCGCAGTTCGCATGCGTTTCCCCCACCCAGTACAGCACTTCGTGGCCCAAGAGGGAGCTCCACCGAAGGTCCCAGTGGCGCAGTTCGCATGCGTCTTCCCCACCCATTACAGCGTTTCGTGGCCCCAGAGGGGGCTTCACCGATGGCGATACCCGCAACTGCGGTATTCACAACTGCACATGGTTGGGTCCTTCGCCAGGCTAATTTTTGTTGGTGCCTTGTGCTCGCGACGGCTTGTCGGCGAGCTGTCCCAGAAGGCACCAGGGCAGCCCAAACGGCTTCAGGATTATTCAAAGACGGCCCACGGGGGACCCAAGAGAGCTAGCGGGACGGAGGAACGGGTGAGTCATTTTTTGCCGTCGTCTGTGCAGTAATTCGTTTGTGGTGCAATCCATCAAAGGCCCGAGACAGAACGGTCACAAGAGCCGGTCGGGGCTTGAAGAGATTCCACAAGAGCTCCAGGAGGCGGAACGTTCGGAGACGGCCACAAGACGGTCTGTTGTTTCTGCCGCGGGATTCCCGTGGCAGATCTGCGAGAGAGGACTCCATGACGGCATAGACGGCTCCAACATGCTGTCAAGACAACCCAAGAATTCTCTGAGAGAGAGCCCCAAGAGAGCCCAGGAAGGCTCCAAGGGGCGTTCCCGAGAATACCCACAGGCGGCCCTGCGGGGCGCGAGTGGGTTCCATGATGAGAAGAAGGAGGAGGGCAAAGGGGAACGAGCGGATGGAGGAGTGGTTTAGTTGACTGTGTGTTTGTTGCCGTGGCTTGTCGGCGGGGCAGCCCCCAGGGGACCCCGCCGAGACAGCCCAAGATTGCGCCAAGAGCCCCCCCAAGAGAGCCTCAAGAGATCTCACGAGATCCCCAAGAGGTGCCCCTGTCGACCCCAGAGGCCCAGAGGGTGCCTCGAGACCCTGGTGCATCTTTGCCGCAGGCTGGCAAGTCTCAGGGCGTCCCTGCATGGCCCAACAGGCTCTAGGAAGCTTTGAGGATCTCCCGGATGGCCCCCAAACGGAGCCTCAGGAGGAACCCAAGAGGCCGTCCTCAGACAGCGCACATATGTCCTAGAGGGCCACCTCGTGTTCCGGTGAACGCCTCGGGGAAGGAGGGGGAGGATAAGGAGGAAGGGGACGAGGAGGTTGCAAGCGCGGAGGAGGAGGAGGAGGAGGAGGAGGAGGAGGAGGAGGAGGAGGAGGAGGAGGAGGAGAAGGGAAGGGAACAGGATGAGTTTGTGAGAGGGGGGCCGTGCGGGAGCAGGATGATGGGAAGGCTGTGTCCGAGAATAGAAGGAGCAGGACGAGGAGGAGGAGGAGGAGGAGGAGGAGGAGGAGGACTAGGAGGAGGCGGGGTGAGAAAGGGGCTCCGATCCAGGGTAGTGTTCTCGCCTTGCCCAGGAATGCCCAGGCCTGCTGCGATCGTCCACTCCTCCCATAAGCCGTGGGTGGTCCACGGGGATCGGGGGTGGGTTGTCCTGGAAGGGGCTCATGGGAGGCGTAGGGCCATCGTTTTCTGTAAGATCTGCGGGGCCTACGCGCGACGGCAGGTACACGGACTAGGCCGACCCTGCCGCCCGTCCTCGTCTCGTCCGTTGTCGGCTGTCCGTCTGGCTCGTTCGGCATTGGGACGTTTGTTGTTTGGTGGGGAGCCCCAGTCCAACGCGTTCTGGGGGCTCCCCTTCCCCCTCTCTAGGGACTCGTTCGGCGAAGCGCCCAACGCAGGGCCTGATGAGGGGAAAAATTCATCGGGCCCCAAAGCCGTGGAGGCATACGTCCACTGTTTCGAGGTAGGTCCTGCTTGGTAGTAGGTTAGGTTAGTTCGGCTTCGAGCGGCATTTACTCTTTGTAGGATCAGAGGATCAGAGGAGGAGGAGGAAGAGGAGGAGAAATACGAGGAGGAGGAGGAGGAGGAGGAAGGGAAGCCAAGCGGGGATGAGGGAGGAGAAGAGGTAGGAGGAGGAGAGGTCGAGATGATGATGATGATGATGATGATGATGATGATGATGATGATGATGATGATGATGATGATGATGATGATGATGATGATGACGAGGATGACGAGGATGACGAGGATGAGGAGGATAAGCAGGGACGGATGCGGCAGACGGAGCAGGAGAGGGCGGAGGTGGAAGGGGACGAGGACGACGATGAGAAGGAAGGGGAGGAGTTTGGAGTTGGAGGAAGGAGGGGCGAGGAGACGGATAATGAGAGGAGGAGTAGGAGGAGGTCTAGAACAGCGACCCTACAGACCGCCTCCGGCCCGTCCAATTTCTGCCGCGCATTATGTAACGTCGCCGCCTAAACGTCAATGTTGAGAGGGAAAGGCGTCGAACCTGTTTTTGCTGGCAAAGTGACAGCTTGCGAGCATCAGAGACCCTACGGCGAATCACCGCCGCCCCCTGCCGCTTGGGAATGCCCATGCCGCCAAGCATCGGCCGAAGTCTGGCCAAGCTGCTGGACTCTGTCGTCCCCCAGCCGTTGTGGAACACATCGGGGGCCATCTCGGGCCTCGTTTTGCGAGCCCTGGCCCTCTCGGAGACCTCTCTTGGACTCTGGTTGGGGCCTCTTCGAGCTCTCCGGGCCCATCTCGGGGCCCTCCTGTCTCCCAGCACATGCCGCGGCAGCGCGCGGGATCGCGCGGGAAGCCACGGGAGCCGTCGGGAGCGCCCTGCACTCGGGGCCGCGGGCCCCTCTGCGGGAGTGGTCTAAGCCTCGATGCCGAGGACCCCGAGGGGCCTGATGAGTTTTATTCGTTGCAGGACGAGGGCAGGACCAATATCCAGGTGCATCAACACGTTGGGCCCGTTGACTGAAACATCTGGAGGCTACCATGGGGACGCCTCTGGGGGCCTCTGGGCACTGGGATCGAAGATCAAGGAACGATATTTCAAGGATCCTGTTTTTTCCCCAACCATCCTGTGGTGTTGGGTCCTCGTTTTGAAGAGACGGTGCCCCGCGTTCCTCCTTCCCGCCTTCCTCCCCTCCTCCCTCCTCCCCCTCCTACCTGCGTTTCACCAACCCAGTACAACGTTTCGTGGCCCCATAGGAGCTCCACCGACGGCGCCAGTGGCAGGGTTCGCATGGCGGCCTCGGGCCATTTCGGCACACCGTCACCAGGACCGTGGCCCCATGGGGAGCTCCACCGAAGGCCCCAGTGGCAGGGTTCGCATGGCGGCCTCGGGCCATTTCGGCACACCCCTCACGAGGATCATGGCCCCATAGGAGCTCCACCGAAGGCTCCCGTGTCAGGGTTCGCATGGCGGCCTCGGGCCATTTCGGCACACCCCTCACGAGGATCGTGGCGCCATAGGGAGCTCCACCGAAGGCCCCAGTGGCAGGGTTCGCATGGCGGCCTCGGGCCATTTCGGCACACCCCTCACGAGGATCGTGGCCCCATCGGAGCTCCACCGAAGGCTCCCGTGGCAGGGTTCGCATGGCGGTCTCGGGCCATTTCGGCACACCCGTGGCCCCATAGGAGCTCCACCGACGGCGCCAGTGGCAGGGTTCGCATAGCGGCCTCGGGCCATTTCGGCACACCCCTTACGAGGATCATGGCCCCATAGGAGCTCCACCGAAGGCGCCAGTGGCAGGGTTCGCATAGCGGCCTCGGGCCATTTCGGCACACCGTCACGAGGATCATGGCCCCATAGTTGTGCTGCTTTAACATCCGCGCCTGGGCGTCGTACTCCGCCTTGTCGACGTGCAACGCCAACACCCTTCCTCATGGCTCTCAGAGCCCTCTCCTACTTCTGCTCCTCGGTCAGAGCGACGTCGTCATCGTCGTTGGCGCCTGCGAAGACGGCCACCAACGCGTCTTTGAGCATGTCGGGCTCCGGCGGGAAGCCGTGGCCACATAGGGAGCGCGGGCGAAGATGGTATTCACAATTGCGGTATTCACATCTGCATATGGTTGGGTCCTTCGCCAGGCTAATGATCCAGGTCTCCAGGGGCCTCCAAATAATTCAAGGGTCGATGATGAAATATCGAGGTGATCGGATGTATTTGGGGCCTCTGGGGTGCTTCCGGGGGGCTTGATCGAGGCCGTCGAGGAGCCAGAGCAGGAGGAGCTGGAGAGGAATATTGACATTTATGTTGCCAGTTCGTTTGTTTTTTCAGTCGCGCTTGTCGCAGGAGGGCGGGGGGAGGAGGTGGATGATAAGGCAAAGGAGGAGAAGGAGGTCAGGCAGGCCTAGGATGATGAGGCGCCGCGCCAGAGCGTTCCCGAGCGCTCCTAGAGCGCGCTCTCGTACAGCCGCGGCTCCCGACCCATCCTCCACAGCCGCTAGCTCTCAGAGATTCCCGGCTCGTGATCCTCACACGGCCTTCGTGGTAGGAGGTGGAAGGCGATGTTGGGGAAGGTTGATGGGCCAGTTTCCCACCACCACCACCATCAGTTGGGAGGGGGAAGGAGGTGGAGGAACAGGAGGACGAAGAGGAGGAAAAGGAGGAGGAGGACCCTTTCCCCCTCCAATTATTGGTGGTCGTGGTGGGAAACAGGCCCATCAAAGGTGATCATTTTCTGCCGTGTCACCGCGTGCGCTCGTGGAGCGAGCACAGCGCAGGTCCTGACTCGGTCCTCTTATCTCTCGCGCTGGTGAGCGGGACGCTTGCCGTGTGGCAAACAAGGCACGTCCATGCCCACGCATATTCCTTTATGTTTTGCCTTTGGGGATATCATTGATTTTAACGAATGGTTGTTTATTGGGATTTTCATCTTGGGATATCAACATTTGGGATTTTCATTGAAGTGCCCTCTTGGTCCCCTTTCTCCCACAGCCAACCAGAGCGAAAAGGTGATCATTTGGGGGCCCGTGGCGCGTGCATCCTGCCGCTTCGGGGCGGGGGAGGTGGAGCGGTACCAGCGGACCAACGACGCGCTGTGCCAGCAGGTCTTCGGCGAGGACAGCCCTTGCCAGCCACGCCGCCACGCCCAGATCACCCAGAGGGAGGAAGAAGATCACCATGAGACAAGTGGTCCTGGGGGAATAGTGAATCTGCTTTTCTCCGCCTCATCTTACACTTGCCTCTCTCGCTGCCTTCCTTGCCACACCTTGGCGCTGCGGCTTTGCACCGCAGCTGTTTGTGCTTACAGGAGATAAAAGGAGCGTGCTGGCTCGCACGCGCGCGCCGAGGGGTCGTTCCCTCGTCGTAGTCGTGTCGTCGGCCGGCCTCCTCCCTTACTACTCCTGAGTACAATTGCTTAACGGTTACTTGTAGTTTCATCGATGTCTCATCCTGTATCCTCTACTACTTAGCAGAGTCAACACGAGACCTTAATTCCTTTGTCATCTTACCCCGATTCTCAGAGGAAAGATTGGTTATCAGCCGAAGCCCGCGACCAAGTCGCAATGGGGATGAGCTATGATGAGACAGCCGAATTGCCCGCCAGAGACGAAATCATATCACCAGTTGTACAATATGACGGGCAAGAACCACAGGACGGCGGCCCGGGGAGGGGCCGCCTTCCCTCTTCTTCTATCGCCACTCGGGTCTCTCGTGGGAGGAGTAGGGGAGAAGTTATAGATTTGTCCAGATACGATTCTCCTTCTCGGGTTCCGATCGGTGATCGTGAACGGACCCCAGACCCGACGAGGCGAGACGGCACAACAGCAAAGATTAGACCAGGAGCCTTCTCGTCGTTAATTGCCGTATCTTCGGAAACAATAAACTCCAGCCCGATTGCTACGCGGACTATCGTGCCGGCCGTTGGCCAAGCCAGTGGGTCGGGAGAAGCTGAAAGGTCCAGAGGCGTGTGCCCCACCGTCCCAGACGGATGGGGAAACGCACAAGGGACTCATCCCGTCCCGATAGCTTTGAATGGACAGACCGGCCAAGATAGTGACGAACAGTTTGATGATGGAAACGAGATTAACTCCATGGAGGAAGACATTGAGTACGCCAACTATCAAGCGTCAATTGGCCGCGATTTGTCTTCGATAATGGATGCAGACCACCCCGTCCAAGACGAGAGGTGGTCCCCTTGGCAGGATACGATTGATTACGATCAAGTGGAAGCCCTCGGGCAAGCATTTGCAATACCAGACTCGGACATTGAGATAAGTGACCTGACGCCCCAGGCGGTCGAGGTGGACATGGAATGTCCGACCCAAGCGAAGCATGATCGGGAGATCGCAGGACGAACTCCCGCTCCTCAACTCAAGAAGCAAAGGAATGAGGAGTATGACTTGAATGACTCTCCGCTTGAGGAAAAGTTTCATCGGACTGCCGTCGCCACAGGCGATTGGCAACCGTCGATACCCGTCGTAATTGGGGATAATGAAGTGATCACCCCCCCGGCTTCGCTGGATGAATTGGTTAGACAAGACGAAAGGGATGAGGAGCTTCGAGAGACGGCTAGACCGCCAGAGAGTACGCACATGCGTCCCAGATCGAATGCTTCGAGCCGGGGAAGGCTCAAGATACCCAGATCTGGAGCTCGACCTACATCGAGGAGCAACGGCACGATATCCGCGCGTGAGACATGCTGGAACTATGGCCCCGACTGCCCGCCTCAGGCGGATAACAGGTGCCTGGGGAAAGCCCACAAGCCCGAAGGAGCTTGTAGGCGTCCAGTACGTCGCCACAGCCAGGGCAGCACAAGAAAGACAACAGCTCCAAGAACAACTTCAAACTGCCAGGCTGGAAGCGGCCAGCACCCAAATTGTAGCTGCGACGATAGTTGATCAGAATAATCAATATCGAGAAGAGCTCAAGTCACATGAGAATGCCAGAGTATCTCTTCAGCGCATGCAATTGAGCGACAGTACGCGCCCACCGGCCAAGCAGGCTGGGGCGAGTAGACGGCCGTCGCCGGCGGCCTAGTCGTCCGGCGCAGCGCCCGCACTGGCCCAGTCTGGCTCGACGACCGGGGTAAGCGCGGCGCCGCCAATGTTGCAGGTAAGGGCTGCACCACAGCCACAGCCTGCAAAATGGGGCGACGAAGAGAGTTGCTCGATTTGTTTGAACCCGAAAGTAGGAGATTGCGCCACCTGTGGACTGCCAAGTTGCAAAGATCACTTCGACGTCAGCACTAAACGGTGTTCTACATGTACTCAGAAGAATAGTTTGCCAGGAGAACAGGAGAAGTGGGATGACCAATGGGAAAAACACAGTGCTGACCAAGACTTTCGGGCTCAACAACAGAAGCTTCTTGACGAGTGCAGCGCTGACAAACTTAATACTCAGCGAATGAAGGAACAAGCTGAGGAGCAGATTAGACTGAGCTCAGAAAGGTCAGTTGCCAACATCCGGGAGAGGGATGGGGCTCTGGCACGCGCAGTGGCACCAGAGAAAGAAGTAATGAAGCTCAAAGCTATCATCACAAGGCCCTTTCCGTATTGTGAGAAGGGACAGGGAAAATTGCCCAACTTTAGTTCATTTGATATGCCTTTACTTTCACAGGAAACGCCCGTGAGGCCTGTCATGCGACCCAATTTTACTGTTCGTGGTCCTGCAATCGAAGGTCCGGCCAAGCCGAGTACCTCCGAGAATGGTTTACCTATGAACATGAATCTTACAGGTGCTAATGACGACGTGGCTTTTGTCGATTATCATCCGTTCTCTAAGGGCGGACCTGTGAGACCGCCAGCGGCCAAGCCGTCTGGCGGAAACCAGGACCACGCGCCAGCGGCCGCGCCGTCTGGCGGGGCAGGACAGGACAAAGATGGGGACGACAGCAGTGTCGCACCAAGTACTTATAATTTGTCGGCACTTAATAATGCTTTCCGCGACCGGCCAGAGAAGCCGCCCGCAGGGGGTCCGGGGGGGCCGGGGCCCCCAGGCGGTGGAGGCGGTCGTGGCGGACCTCAGGGCCCAGGAGGGCCACATGACCCGGGGGGCCTTGATGTGAGTACCCCATTGGACCAGTGGAGACAGGTTGGAAAACATCAGAAAGTCGATCTGATGGACATTCCCGATGTTACAAACATACGGGAGTGGCAGATGCATGCAGTCCGCGCGATTGCTGGATCACCTCCTGAGATCCAAGCGGCATAGCGTTGGATCACGGAAGCCGTGGACCCTGCGGTGGATGACGAACAGCTTAAAAACCCAGGTCGCTTCCAACGTCTTGACATCATGGTCGCCACAAATTTGATTGAAAAGTTCACCAAAATGCGCAGGAATCGCGGTCTGTCCAATCATCACATACACTTCCTTCAACAGATCAGTTGAATGGAGTGCGGCGCCCAGAATGAGGAGAGGCTCTTGACGGGACGTGAGATGGTACGAGCCATTTCCTACTGGTGTTCTGTTAGATCGGAGTTAGGTCAACATCGGATTTCGCGTGATATCTTCAAGGTAGTCGTTGACCCCAATAAGCCAGATGCTGACCTGTATCATTTCTATAATGAATGGGCAGACATTTACCAACAGCTCTACCGTGTCCGACCTCCATCTGATGAGATGAGAGCTTCGACGCGTGCACACTTCATCGAGCAATGCGGGAAGCCTAAGAAGTTAGATTTCGTCTGCCAACTTTATGACTTGTCCAAAGACAAATTGGGAGAAGGCGTAAGTTCTTACGAATGGCTCATGACTCAGATTGAAGGGGCGATGTTGCGTGACAAAGAATAGTGGAACATCAGTATGCATGAGAGCACTCTAAACCAACGTGCCCGACAGGCGCGACTGGGCGGAGGTGGAGGCAATAGCTATGACAATCGTCGAAATGCCAACGGCAAAGCCGCTCCGGCAGAAGTGGCAGCGCGTCTTGGGGAACCCACGGATGTGATGAAGAGTGGTTTGACTAAGGGCGAGGCGACGTGCAAGTTCGCGCGCAAGGGCCAGACCTGCCCGAACGCAGGTCAGGGATGTCCATTTAATCATAAGAAGCCCAAAGCTGCCGCACCGGCCCGGCCGGTTGCGGGGACAAAGTCAAATGCTGCTCCGGCTCAGAACAAGAATCCCAGAGGGAGATCTGAGAAACCTGATGGCCGAGGCCGAAAGGGACAGAGCCGATCGCAGACTCCGACGGGTGGCCGCGGGAAAGGAGCGCAACAATGGAAGAGGAGTCAATCCAACCGTTCGCGCGGAAAAGAGAGCACGTTGCCATGCTATGCTTATTCGCGTGACCCCAAGAATTGCCGTGGAGCTGAGGACGGTTGCAACAGGCAACACAGAGGCTTGACCGATGCAGAAAAGTTCAAGCGTGATAAGTATGAACAAGCGAAGCTTGATGCTGGACAGTCTCTAGGATATGAGCGAACAGTTAAACAAGCCAGTGCTGCAGCTGCCAATGTCTCCTCCGCTGTTGGCAATAGCGGCTCTAGGGCCTCTAGTGACACTTCAGAGAAACGCAAGAAAGACGGAGACAGGAAGAAGGGCAGAGGCAAAGGCAAGGACATGATTTGTCGCTCCTTCAAGGAAACAGGCATATGCACGCGTGGAAAAGACTGTTGGTTTGCCAAGACCACGACTGGCCATCCGTGACATTGGCTTCGCACTGGCGGCCCAGTCGCCAGTGCTCGAGGACTGATTGGTATAGTTTTGTTAAGGATACCTTTTCTTATCTTCCTCGCTCGGTGGATGCGGCGACGCCCGCGTCGGTCAAACCGAAAGTGGGGGGGGGGAAGGTGCCCGCTGACCAAGTCAGCGTGGGTGCCATTGCGTGCCCCGCCCCGTTAGCTCGGGGCCTTCTTGGGCAGAAACAGGCCGGCCCTTATTTTTGCGGAGGAGTCGACAGGAATCCCTCTTGTGGAAAGTTTCACCACGAATGCAGGGGGCAAGCTGATAATTTTGTGAATATCCTTGCAAATTTCCTGTATCCTCTTTTTCGGGGCGCTATCAAGATGTACTGGGGCGCCCCCCCTAGTAAAAGCTGCATTCGATCTCAGATGAAGGGTCGGTGCAAGTTCCGCGTCCGATTTCACCCCTCTAATGAGGAGCCCGCCATCACTTGCAGGAAG